AAGGGATATTAAATTCAGACATCGCGGCATAGAGGCAACTCCTTTTAGTGCTGTCAAAAGTGGCTTTAAAGTCGACAAATAGGTGGTGAGTGTCGATCCTTTTCTCGCGGGTCTTTTCCAAGATTTGGCGTATTGTGAATACCTGGTCTATGGTGGATTTGCCAGGTCTAAAGCCACACTGATAAGGCCCAATCAGTTCATTGACGGTGGGCTTCAGTCTTTCACACAATACGCTCGATAAGACCTTGTAACCTATGCTTAGAAGGCTGATCCCGCGGTAGTTGGCGCGAATGGCGGGGTCACCTTTCTTGTGGATTGGGCAGAGCACACTTAAATTCCAGTCGTCGGGCATGCGTTCATCTGACCATATTCTGCACAAGAGTTGATGCATGCACCTTATCAACTCCTCGCCGCCGTACTTGAATAGCTCAGCTGGCAGGCTGTCAGCTCCAGCGGCTTTGTTGTTTTTCAGCCGCGTTATTGCTATACGTACCTCGTCATAGTCAGGCGGTGGAACGTCGACTCCGTCATCATCGACTGCGGGCTCGGGTTCTTCTCCACAACTTTCCGTGCTGCTACCATTAAGTAGGGCGGAAAAGTGTTCCCTCCATAATTTAAGCATGCTCTGGGCATCAGTTACTAGGTCGACATTATTGTTCTTACGGGAGTACGCCCCGGTCTTGAAAATTTTCGGGCATTCTTGCTGTCGGCCAGCATTTCAAGCTCTTCGCACTCACGTATTTCGGCCTCTCTCTTATTGCAGCAAATACGTCTCGCTTCCCTCTTCAGATCCCTATAGCGGTCCCGCAAAGCGCGCGTTGCGCCCGATCGCAGCGTGGCCCTGTAGGCGGCATCTGTTTTCTCTGCAGCTTCCTGGCACTCCTCATCGTACCAGTTGTTCCTTCGCGCTCGCTGAAATCTGCGGGAAATGTGGTTCCACTGCTCGCATATGTCGGTTTGTTGAAGAGTGCTCTCTGAGAGCAGGTGTGAGAGTCGAGTAGCGAAAGCGCTGGCTGTCTGTTGTGATNATCTGTTTTCTCTGCAGCTTCCTGGCACTCCTCATCGTACCAGTTGTTCCTTTGGGCTCGCTGAAATCCGACTACTTCTTCGGCGGCGGTACTTAGTGAGCGGGAAATGTGGTTCCACTGCTCGCATATGCCGGCTTGTTTAAGAGTGCTCTCTGAGAGCAGGTGTGTGAGTCGAGTAGCGAAAGCGCTGGCTGTCTGTTGTGATTGCAGCTTTTCGACGTTAAGCCGTCCTTGCATATTTGGGCTCACATTTTTTGCCGCACAGAGGTGCGTATCTTGGCTGCAACAAGATAGTGGCCCGAGTCGATGTTTGGGCCTCGGAGTGTGCGTACGTCTAAAACACTGGAAGCGTGCCTTCCGTTTATCACAAGATGACCGATTTAGTTTCCCGTTTTTCAATCCGTAGACAGCCACCTAGCTTGATGGATCTTTTTATGCTTGAACCTATTACTGCATACTACTATGTTTTGGGCCCCGGCGAAGTCGATCAGCCTCGGTCCGTTGTCGGACGTTTCGTCGTGGAGGCTGAATTTTCCGACGGTGGTTCCAAAGATCCCTTCCTTGCCCACTCTGGCATTGAAGTCGCTAAGCACGATTTTGATATCATGACGGGGCAGCGCTCGTACGTGCACTCCAAGCGCTCATAGAAGAAATCCTTGGATGCCTCATCCTTCTCTTCCGTCGGGGCATGGGCGCAGATGAGCGAGATGTTGAAGAATCTCGCTTTGACGCAGATTATGGCTACCGGGGTGAACGATAGTACTCGGCAACTGAGTCTCTCTCCCACCAAAAATCCAACACCGAATTTGCGCTCCTTTACATGGCAGCTGTAGTAGACGTCGCAAGGCCCCAGACATTGCTTGCCTTGCCCCGTCCAACGCATTTCTTGGATGGCGGTGATGTCAGCTTTTGTCCTTTCGAGGACATCAACCAGCCGGGCAGAGGCACCTTCCCCATTAAGGCTCCACTCGAATTGGTTACCGCATCTCGCACATGGATTGCTCACGTTGCCCAGAGTGCGCGAACGAGGACGCAAGAGTCGGGATTGAGTATAGCCATGCAACTGTAACTGCATACCCAGCGCAATGACTATACCCCATTGCACTCCAACGGCTTTACNCGAACGAGGACGCAAGAGTCGGGATTGAGTATAGCCATGCAACTGTAACTGCATACCCAGCGCAACGACTATACCCATTGCACTCCAGAAAAGCTTTCTTCACGCTATTAAAATAGTAAAACAGCGAATGCGTTCCAATTTTGGATAGTAAATGTCTTCTTCTTCGTGCCTGAAATAGCCCGGAATTCTTTTCCGGGCACAAATGTGCAAAGAGTCAAATTGCCATAACAGTTTTGTTTATTTTACATCCGAAAGCAATTTTTATAAAACACAAAAAACGAAAATACCGCCAAAGGCTTCAGAAAATGTAGGTATTTGCTATTTTTACTAGCCGTATAAGATAAATACACTTAAAATGAACGTTTTTCTTTCAGATGCTCTTAAATGAAAGCTCCGTAAATGTTTAATGTTTGTACTTTGTACTTTCCATATTTTGAAAATGAAATAAAGGATGTAAAATTAAAAAGTAGTGATTAAGCTAAATTGAAATTTCAATTGAATAAACTTTAACTGTTTTCCGCACTTGTCAAATCGCAAAAACATCAACATGGGAAACAGCTGATTTGTTGACTCCAGGCACGAAATGTGTTATTTTGTGTTCCCCACGTTCTGGGCACTTTTTGCACGTTTTGACACATGTTTGACAATTGTGAGAGAGTAACTTATTTTTACCCTCGAAATACCGAAACAGCTCGGAAAACGCGTGGAACAAAGCTAATAACGCCACCTTGAAAGAATTCGCCTTAAAATATCGGCAAATTCGCAACTTACGGTCTTCACGCTTAAAATTATCGGTTGCGTGACGAAGCAAGCGAGATCTATGTTAGCGTTAACGTCAAATTTTTATTTTGACCCATACCCGCTATTTTACTTTTTCAATAGGGGTCTTCATCAAAAGTGATAAACAGTTGATAAACTTGATAAAATGTAAATTTATCATTTTGATAAATGAACAGTCAAACTTTGTATGGAAACCTATTTAACCAAAGTTTATCACTTTATCCGACGATTTTGGTGGATAAACGTATAAATTTCAGTAAAATTCAACCTGACACTGCCAGGTGGTCGCTTTTGCTACCAAAACATAAAAAGCGAATTAACACAATCGACGAGGTAAGAATGAAACGTAACTTCTCAGATAAGTTAATAATAAACAATATTGTGCAATTATTTACCAAGGTGCGTTCATGAAGACCCCTAATATGTTGTATATCAAGACGTAGAGAACTAAAATATCTTTTGGAATTAAGGAATTAAAATTCATTTATGTTCTTTAAAGAAATTTAAACTTTTTTTATATTCGCAGATGAAGAACTTATTCGATGGGGCTGGCCAGAGGATGTTTGGTTCCATGTTCACAACTATTCTTCTGCTCATGTATACTTGAGGCTAAAAGAGGTAATTTTAAATACAAACAATTTTTGCTTAAAAGAAAATGTCCAAAGCGGGAATTGTATTTTATCTTCCAAATCGCACAAATCAAATACTTACATATATGGGCAAATCTAAAAAACAGGTAACCTTGGTGTTATTTAGCTTTATTTTCACTGTTGTAAACTAAATCCAGCTGGTTGCTTTTGGAATAATTCATTGACGTATACTTGAAGCCTAAAAAAAATGGATCAGTTTGCTGCATAACTTTTGAATTATAGGTGCTTAAATTAAAAAAAATAATGAAAAGAAATGAATTTTTATGTAATTTTTAAGAGTGGCACAATTAATTATGTCATAACTTTTGAAGCACACCATATTCTGATTTGAAATTAAATGGGCATTTAGCACTTATGTATGTGTTGACTTCATATGTAGTAGGTAAGAAAAGTGTGCCTTAAAAAATAACGAAATGGCAAGTAACGCAAAGTCTGTAACTCTACATTTCACAATTTTAAAAATTTTCCGTTTATCGCGTATAGATCTTGAAGCAATTAATTTTAAGAACTTTTTAAGTATGTATGTATTCTACAAACAATTACGAATAATTTGATACCTTAGCAAGAGGTGTGCTTTCAGAATAAACTAACTTTTAAAGATAAAATATTCTGCGATCTTGAGCCAAATTTTTATTCCAAAAACACCTTAATTGAAACGATCTAAATCTTTCTATAACTGCTAGTCCTTATAAAATTACATAAACCTGTAAAATGCTTCAAAAAATTTGTCTCTAGAAGTGTGTAAAAACCCTGATTTACTACTTTTAATGATGCTCCTTCTTGTAGTCGGAATATTTCGAGAGTGGTATCAAAGTAGCTTTTTTTCGACAAATGGTCTCATAAATAGTTGGTATTACTTAATTGGAGCCTTCTAAATTCAATGGCGTCTTCAGTTTTAGCGCAAAAACACATATCTGAGAAATCCGTTGTATTGGAGCTATATGTTAATGTGAACCTATTTCGATAATTTTAAGGAATAATTAAGGTAATATTAAAAAACTGTTATTTGCCTTATGCCTTATTATGCAAAATTTTAGTAAAATAACTTCAAAACTGAGGGAGTTATTTATAAAATAGTTAATATTTAATCAAATTTTCAAGTACCGTTATCTCGAAAACCGGAGCCAATCTGGTAAAACGGGGCATGCCAGTGAATTTAGAACGTCCCAATTAAGTGAGCTCAACTTTCAAATTCTTTGCTCAAAGTTTACAACTTGAACAGCGTAATTTTAACCCAGCTTATTCTTTTGTTTTCTATTTCATGTTTATTCCTCGTCTAACTTTTGAAGCACTTGATGAAAATGAATTACACTTATATTAATCGATTTATTAAGAGATTACGAAAAAAATGATATATAAAAAATAGGTGTGCTCACAAATTTAAAAATTCAAATTTTTTTTTTAAATGTACCTATATATCATTCATATAATTACTTGTCAATGGTCAAAGAATGAAAATGTAATGTCGCGTAAAATTGTTTACAAAAATCTCTTACAGGGTCAATCTGTAGACGATATTCCACAGGCTCTGATCAATGACGCTGCGCAGTTAGTAAAATATAACAGCATTCAAGGGAATAAAATTAACAATATAGAGGTCGTTTACACATTATGGTCCAACCTTAAGAAAACACCTGATATGGAGGTTGGTCAGATAGGATATTTTTGTGAAAAGGATGTGAAAAAAATCCGCGTTGAAAAACGAGTAAATGAAATTATCAATAGACTAAACAAATCGAAAACTGAAGATCATCCGGACCTACGACGGCAAAGAGAAGAACGCGACGCCGAAGAAAGAAGGAAAAACAAGCACAGTTTAAAAGCTCAACGAGAGAAGGAAGAGGAAGAAATGAAGCGTCAGAAGGCCGAAGCAGAGAGCCGTAGTTACGATAAATTATTTAAACCGGAAAGCATGACTACTAATTATGATGATGGAAATGACTCTGATGATTTTATGTAACAATAAAATTTTTAAATCTACATATGAAATTAAATATACATATATCGTCACCTGAAATGCAAAAAACGTAAAAAATATCGTTGAAATGCAAAAAGTCATAACTAGGGCATGGAAATCTATGCAAATATATGTTTTTCTTGGACATAGGTAAAGCGAAATAGATAAAGTATCTACGCGAATCATAAAATTATCTTAAAAATGGCATTCAAATGTTTTTGCATATTTTAGCCATAAATGCATATTTTTGCATATTTCGCATTTTTTGCACATTTTAGTACATATTTTGCAATATATTGGCTCTTGACGGAAAACTTTACAAATCTGCAAATCTGTGCATATTTCTCTAGTTGGTACTTTTACGGATATTTAATTTTGTGAATTGGTTAGTTTGCAGTTTTACACAAATAAAATACACGTAAAACTCTTATGACGAAGTACGGAGGTTGGTGTGAACGCGGCTATCATTTGTTTTCGATGTAGTGCGAAATCTATTGGGAAACATAAGTGTTGTTTTTTTATGTTTCAGGGCCACTCTGTAATCCATTAGAAGGCAATTTTTAGTAACAATTTTATTTCTGAGAAAATTTTGGAGAAAAATCAAGGATTTTAAAAAATAAAGGAAATTGTGTTTTACAAAATGAATATACAGCAAGCGAACTGGTCGCTTTTAAGCTAACTAAAGATTGAGCTGAATTATGTGATATAGTATTTTAAGACTGAATTTTTCTACATATATAAATCCGTGTATTGAAATGTACGTATTTGCTAAACGCAAAATTGAATGAAATAATTTTTGTACCTAACTTTATTTATCTTTAAAAACTTCAATAAACGTATGAGTCAACTGCAGGCTTATATAATGTTTTCTCTGCATTTTTTTAATTCACGATTTTTTTTTATTTTTCATGCATATTTTTAATTTTTTGTTGCATTTTTAAGCACATATTTCTTATTTTTTAGTGCATGAAAATTCATGCCCTAGTCATAACTAATAAGAAATTTGAAATTCATTTTTGGATTTATATGATGAATTTCATCGACTTACAACTCCCCTCATCATTTACGATTTTGTTACGTCTTTTTGCATTTCAGGTAACGATATGTAGATTAATTTGACTAATTTACGGGCAAATTCTGAAATTCACTTCCTAGTGAATTTCAGCCCCTGCCCATTTGAATTTAAAGCGAACTTGACTCAAATTCACTTGCAAGTGAATTGCAGAAACTGCAGGGCATTCGCACGAGGCGATTTTTCAGGCAACTTTTGCATTCAACTCACGCAGGGTTGCACGAAAAAAAATTGAATGGCTAAAAATATCAAAATATAAAAAATATCAAAATATTCGACATAAACGTCGTTTGCATTGTTGAACTTTGCATTCTACTTTTGGTTGAACGGCCTTTCAACTAATCGCTTACAACAAAGTTGATCGCCAGCCAACATTTAGCCATTCAACTTTTTTTTCGTGCAACCCTGCGTGGATTGTCATTCAAGTGCATTACCCTATCTCGAAAAACTTTTCAAACACGTCCTATTTCAGAATTTGGTTGAAGAACGCCCTATTTCACAATTCGTTTCAAAAACGCCCTATCTCAGCTGCCGATTTAAAAAAACCCTATATCAGCACATTTTCAATACAGTGCGATAGGGCATTTTTGAATCGAATTCTGAAATAGGGCGTTCTTCGACCAAATTCTGAAATAGAGTGTTTTTCAATAAAATTCTGAAATAGGGCGTTCTTGAAAAGTTTTTTGAGATAGGGCGTTTTCGAACTGGCTGCAGATAGGTCGATCTTCCACTCAGCAGTCGATATGCTATTTCACATCCCAGACTTTGCCTTGCATTGCCGCAAATGATAAACATCGCTCATCGCTACTTTAAACCCGCGACTATGTCCCCTTTCAGACACGTCAAGTCTTGCTTTCAAGTCTGCTCGTTCGTAGGCGAAGGAGGTGAGAAGAGAGGGGAAGAGTACAGATACCTCCGTACCGTCAATTCGTTTCATGTTTTCTTGTCTCTTTTGATCTTTTCGTTGCTTCCCATTTAAAGAACCAAGGACCTGAATTCAATTAAAGTTGACGCGTGTGCAAGCAAATAGAAAACACAAAAGATAATGCGAAAAAAATTGCTTTCAAGACTTGACGTGTCTGAAAGGGGACTATGTAGCAAAACAACAAAGTTTGGGCCCTGCCATACGGTCAGTGATATCATGATATTTAGATCGCGATCCATATTGATGGATCGCGCACAAATGCTACATTTTCAATATGGGTGTGTTCAGTAATGCGTCAAGCCAAAGCATCAGACGCATTTATTTCTAAACTATAATTGATGGAAATGTCCATTATGCGCAACCACGCTTAAATGCTTAATTGGAACTTTGTTACGTAAATAAGGCATTTACGTCAGTTATAGTTTAGAAGTAAAAGAGACTGATGTTTTGGCTTGATGCATTTCTCAACGTACCCTATTTATCGCGTCAGTGTTTTCATAATCTGTGTGCTGCACTCTTATTATATCGCAAGAAACAATTTTTATCTTATTTTCATAATTATTTTAAAATTTCCAATGCTAATTTAAATACTTCAATTTGCTTAGAAAGATTTTAAGCGTCGAGAGCGAAGGTAGAGCGAATATGTTTTCGATGTTCGCATTATGAGAGTAAAGGCCCATCCACATACAGTAAATAAATTAAAACAAAAGACATTAAATGAAATAATAAAACAAGTGTCCAAGGATTGGAACTCGGATCTCTCAAATCGCACCCTAGTGCTTTGTTCACTTGGCCATTGCGACTGTTGGGGTAGCGCGAGCAAAATGACATACATATATATTGTTTTCTTTGCGCCGGCTGATTTTGATGCATCGTAGATTTTCAGTGATAGCCCTAATTGTCAACATAAAAACTTTTGCCTGTGGAGACGCCACGTAATATAGAAATCTAATTTTGTGCAGAATATCGATGATCTGGCATCACTAAATTATCGAAGAATATTTTATAAAGCCGTCCATTTCTATCACGTTCCCTTCTTTTGTATTTGCAAGGCCAAGTTGATAGAATGGTGCGTTGGTGATCCAATTATATTTTCTCCATCGGTGTTATGTTGTTGAACAAAATATAACATTTATGTTCGATATTTTTGGTTATTTCAGGCGGCGCATAAATCTTTCAGGATTAAACAGAAACTTGCTAAGAAGCTCAAGCAGAACCGATCGGTTCCTCAGTGGATCCGTTTACGTACTGGAAACACCATTAGGTAAGGCGGATATAGCTTCTAACTTTTGAATTTTTTGTTAATATTATGTTTTAATATAATCTTATCCCTAGATACAATGCTAAGAGGCGTCACTGGAGACGCACAAAGTTGAAGCTTTAAACCTGTCGGGATCTTACGTTACTTGTCGATTTGGATTTACAATTAAACATTGATGCTTCAATAAATATACAAAGCAATTAAAATATTATCTTATAAAAGTTTCACGGTATTGTGCCAATAGTGAGTTTCTATTGGCTTCTGTGGATCCTGAACCAGTTTACCGAGTGTGTTCTGTGGATGTGGCAGTAATCAAATAATAATTCTAGCCATGCACGTCTGATATTCAATGTAGGCTTTCAACTAAACTTGGCTACTTCAGGTAGTCGCCACCTTGGTGCTCCAATGATTTTAAGAGGTGAAAAACAGTGGAAGGAAGGCCGAAGAGGCAGTAGTGATGTAATGAACTTGTACGAAAGTTATAGTGCGAGCGAAGATGAAGATGTATACGTTTGTGTTTTTAAATGCATCAAACCAAAGCATAAGTACCATTTCTAAACTACAAATGATGAAAATGCCTTATTTGCTCAACTAAGTTCCAATTCATCATTCAACAATCCATCCATCAATTCTAGTTTAGAAATAACAGACTGATGCTTTGACTTGATGCATTTCGGAACACAAGGTATGTTGTCAGTTGCAAACAATTCGTCTGGCACTTTTTTAAATTAATATTTTCGGAGGTAAGACTCGTTGAAGTTAGTTATTCATGCCTATTACGGATCTAATACCAGAGCTGGGTAAATGCAATTACATTACAATTACAATTACATTCCTCAGTAATTGTAATTTGGATTCAATTCCTTTAGTTCACAGCAAAGGAATCGATTACTTTTTCAAATCCTTGAAGTAATTTCAAATGGAATTGCTTTTTTCTTTAATTCCATTACAAGGAAATTCATATTGTAATTGGAATAAATTACGTGCTAGTAATGTAATTTCTTTAAATTCAATTCCTTTGAAAGGAATTGAAAATGTAATTTTTTTCCCCATTCCTTTGAAAGAAATGAAAATGTAATTGATTTTTTTTTCCAATTCCATTCCTCAAAGTAATTTAAAAAGTAATCGAATTTTTACTGTTGAATTGCAATAGCTTTGCTAAATTTCTTGGTTGCTAACTGCCTTGAATAAACAATTATATTATGGTACCCTTAATTCTACCCAAAATGGCGTGCCTTCTGGGGCCTTTGAAGTGCTCTTACTGGTATCCTGCGTTACAAATGAGGATAGAGTCCGCTTGAATTACGAGCCCTGTGGGACTGGAGATCCTACCTCCTAAGAGTTTTATAAACAAATTTCATTGCTATGGCTAAATTTTGATGATAACACTGTAACGACGCTAAAATTACACAAAAAACGCCGAGAGACGTAAAATTAATTTTAAGTAGTAGTTACGGATCTGTGTACCGTTTTTTTTAGATAAGGCCATTTAGCCAAGTTATTTTCATTTTAAGTTTTCATTGCGAATGAAAAAAATTCAAACTTTAACATGGTCATACGGTCATGTACGATATGGCTTATGGGTAACATTATTTCCTGCTAGTATTTCATACAAAAAATTATTGCACTTTCACTTAACCCTTGCAAACTTGTTTATTTATCCATCGATTTTCATCGGTAGTAGTGTTTTAAGCTGCAGAACAAGCAGATATTGGCTAGTCTATACTAATATATATTTTGAAAGGCGTTTTTTTATGTTCGCAAAGCTCGAGAAAGGCCGTACCAAATTTTTTTTAAATTTCGGAATCTACTGCAGACTTTCCAAGGATGGTTAGAGGGGAAAAAGAAGTTTCGATATAGAAAGGGGGCGTGGCACCTCCCATACAAACAGAATTTTTCAAACTGCATATATTTGTGGTACAGGACTAGAACTGGGTATGGTGATATATACATACATATATAAGACCAATTCCATACTAATGGAGAAAAATTTGCATGGTTGGAGAATGGGGCGTGGCACCTCCCATATAAACCGAACTTTTCATATTGCATATTTGTGGAAGTGTTCATGGTAGACTGTAAGCCTTTTAAAACTCTTTAGTTTGACACTCAATTTAACTGAGTTACAATTTCCAAACAGGTGGCAGCCCCCTCAAAAATATTTCCAACAATTGTCTTAAACCTCTTTAATTTGATACCCATATTGTACTATTTTATTTATTTTATCAATGTAATTTAATTAAATTTTCAAACACATGGCAACCCTCCTCAAACATATTTTCGGCAGTAAGCCTTCTTAAAACTCTTTAGTTTGACACCCACTTGGCAATATTTCACTTTTTTTAACAATTTGACTGAGTTTAAATTTTCAAATAGATGGCAACCCTCGTCAAAAATACTTCCACCAGTTATCTTTCTTAAACCTCTTTAACTCGATATCCATATTGTAATAATTCATTAATTTTATCAATATAATTGGGTTTAAAAATTTTAAAATAGGTGGCAACCCTCCAAATTTTTGCGATATCATTGGTCTTGGTGTTATACCGAATAATAAAAAAAATTATTCAAATCGGTTCAGCCGCTCTCGGGGGTTTTGATGACCGTGACATACGAACACAACATTTTTATATATATACATAGATATACATAGAAGATGTCCAATGTGTGCTTTCGATTTTAATCTTTGACTACAACAAAAATTCCACATTGTACATTCGTGTATGAACTTTCAGTTTCTATATTACTTTTACAATTCCTTTGAGTAATTGAAAAAACTAAAGTACTCTTGCAATTCCAGGTAATGGAATTGAAGAAAAAATCAATTACATTTTCAATTCCTTTCAAAGGAATTGGAAACAAAAATTGCATTACTAGCACGTAATTTATTCCAATTACAATATGAAATTCCTTGTAATGGAATTAAAGAAAAAAACAATTACATTTTAAATTACTTCAAGGAATTGCAAAAGTAATCGATTCCTTTGCTGTGGACTGTAGGAATTGATTCCTAATTACAATTCCTTGTAATCTGTAATTGGGAGTAATTAAATTCCTGAAGGAATCATTACGACCCAGCTCTGTCTAATACTTCACTCTCGCTTATTATGACAGTGAGAATCAGATAAGATCCGCGCGGATGGCATCCGTCGGATATCAAAATAGACATTGACTTGAGAATGATATCTTTATTACAGGTTGGATAGATTTGCGTATGATGTTTGGAGTTTGTTTAACATTGTTGAACCATTAGGCGGCAGTTCATGTAGAAATAAATCTGGCAGTTTCCGAGGCATCTGGAAAAAAAATTTATTGAAGTCAATAGACCTGCTGCCTATTCCTACAGGTTTTCTTTTTATCCGCGCAAACTCCTATTTGATAAAATGGTAGTGAAATTAGAAATGGGGGAAATTAGCATTTTCGCAAAGAAAAATTAAACTCGTGTTAGGCCATCAGCGGTATTTTTGCGCAAAACTCCTTCCCGCGGTGGTGACCTTCGGCCAAATTTACAAAAAAAGTGCATATTTCAAACCAAAATCTTTGTTTTAAATTAAAACGTTATCCTTCGGCTAGACGTATATGTTAAAATTGTTTGATTCGGGTGACGCGTTTGGACACGATAACTCAAAAGCATTGTACAAATAATTGAACCGTACCCGAATCGCCATGCACCAAGGCACATTAAACAGGTAGTATCAGTAGAGCAAAAACAACATTTGCGTGTATTTTGTTGTTGCTTCTGGTATCGAAAGTGTCAAAAACTGTTCTGAATTTTTTCTTCTAAATCAAAGCGTGCCATGTGAAATACAAAAAATTATAAAAAATAAAAANAGTTGGGCGAACGTTCCAAAAGCTGCTATTCAATCGCTTGTTTTGTATGGAAAAAGGATTCACATGCAAATGGATTTTAACAATTCAGAATTTTTGTGAGAAAAAATTTAAAATATTTGACATTTTCGAGACCAAATAATTTGAAAATAAATCAAATCAGCTGCTCTACTGATACTACCTGTTCAATGTACCTTGCCATGCACTTTTCTATAAAAAAATTTTATGAAATTAAACTGATCATACCTATGTGGATAATTCTTGTCACATCTGATGTGAATAATTCTTATCACAAATAGTAAGTCTCGTGCTTATATTTATGTATATATATTTTTTAGAAGCGCCACATCTTTATCAAAAAATTTCGGGAACCCAAAAATTGGAACTGTTACAAGTTGCAGGGCCTCATTTTAATTCGACCTCTTCCATGGAGAACGGTACATCGTTTAAAGGTTTAAAAATATTTTGTGTCAGCAAATTGTCATCAAACTTCATTAGATTCTATTAGGTACCAATTTTTGAGAATGGGCTACTAGGCCATATTGCCTCAAGGAAAGTTTTTTTAAGCTTCGTTGAGTAAGTTATGTTTACTTAGAGCATCAAATTTTTTTTTTTTTGGCTTTTTCAAGAAATAAATTTTGCTGCTAGTGAATCTGGTAGCATGATGCTGTCAAATCAGAAAAAGCAAAAACAAAACATGTAAGGCGAAGAAATCAGCTTTTTTAACAACACCTCCAAGGCGAATTTATGCAAGGTGGTATTCAAGGCGAGTTTATACATGTGTTTGTTGCAAATAAGGCGAATTCATATTACAACAAACACATCAGCTTGACATTATGCGCGTTCCTTATCTCCCAGAAATAGTCAGAAAAAGTCCGAAGTAGTCAGATTTAGTCCAAAAAGCGTTCCTTAACTCGGAAATGACAGCAAAAATGAGAGAGCAACAGTCAGTGAGAGCGACTCTCATCAGTCCGAAGTAGTCAGATTTAGTCAGAAGAATTTTTTCTGGCAAAATCCTGAAAAGTGTCAAACTCAACTGAATTTAAATTAACGGAAATTAAAGAATACGCAAAAAGTGAGAATAATCTAAAAAGTAAAAGAAATGAATTGAAATTGGAAGGAGGCAAAAAATAATTGATATAGCAAGTGTTTATTGTGCTTGTGCTTGTGTGAATGTGTTTTGTACATACATTTCTGTTCTTATTTGACGTTAGTTTTGTTGTTGCCATTCTTTGGACTAAAAATTTTGTTTTTTGCGTTCCTTTACTTTTCCTGTTACTCTCTTTTAGTGAGCGCATTTTGCTTACGCTCTGGCATTTTGACACTTTTCAGATTTTAGTCCAAAAAGATAAGGAATGAACCTATTAAGAAGTACCGCAGCGAAAATTAAATTCGCCATCAACACCACCTTGTATAAATTCGCCTTGTTCCCCTTGGTTTGTACTTTGACAGTTCCATATGTTTTCGTACGGAAAATATTGGAATAGACTTATTAAGATAAGATAATGACACTTAAATCGGTGAATCCGGGTTATTGTTTTTAACTATTTTATTAGTAAAGTTTTGCTATAAGTGAAGGAGTAAGGTAAATTTGGATACTCGCATTGATATTTGAGCTGTGATTAGATTATTTTGTGCTTATTCATGCAATGTGTCTTGAATCTTAATGTTACAGTTAAAGCTTTTGTGTTTAATTATTTTGGTGAATGTACGAATTTTAATGAATTTATGTAATTTGGTCCATATTTTTATCCAAATAACGTAAATGCTTATATTTTAATTAGTCTATTTGCGTTTGAAAACAACTTGGAATTTTTCCTACAGGCGACAACCTGCATCCTTTTAAATGCCTTAGATTCAACAATGCTATACAATCTCACACCACTGCCTTTGTTTAATTTACCCATATTTAGCCTGTTCCCATATTTCACGATTTGCAGGTTTTACGGGAACAGCTGTTTTCGGCTTTTGGACTAAATCCTGCAGAACCTGCAAATCGTAGATGTTTTGGGACGCACTAATTGTTTTCTTAAATTTTTTTACTTACTATAACTATGGGTATTTACACATACCTACATGTGTATGTATATCTCGGCTTCCCCAGGGTTCCTTGGTGTTATATGAAGTCTGCTCAAATATACCCGAACGACCCAAAATCACATGCATATCTCAGGCCAACAAGCACTGGTACTATCGCTGCCATCCAGGGATTAAACCCAGGTTCTACGGAGTGGTAGAACGCACCTCTAATCACTCGGCTACAGCGGCCAACCAAATTAAACCAGGAGTGAAGAGATTATATAACCGATTTTTCTACAGATTTTTTTCTTTATTATTTAATTTTGTTTAAGGTCACCTTTAATCTTTCAGTTAGTTTTGGTTCTTCTTGTATTTGTAAGTACGTATGTACATACATATATGTGAATGTATATATCGTTACCTCAGTGCAGTTTTCTCAGGTAGCTTTTAAATTTATCTGCCCTTCAAACACATTTTATTAGAAGGAAATATGTGTTTACTTGAGAGAACGGCCCTAAGTTTGAAAAGGCCCATTGTAATATAATCTCCAAATCCAGTAGAGTACGTGATATGTAAAGTTAAAAACCTGAAATTCATTTTATAAATCAAAAAGTGAATTTTGAATTTCAGCGATGATTTGTTACGTCTTTTTGAATTTCAGGTGACGATATCTACATATGTATAAATACATATCGTCACTTTAATTCAAAAAAGGCCCTAACCAACAATTTTTGTATTTTACAGGAGAAGCAAAAAACTTTATTAAAAGAGGATCAAACACGGGTAGGGCCTTTTAAAAAGAGGCATATAGCTCCGTTGTTTTTGCTGCTAACAGTTTAAAATGTTTACTGAATGTGTCTTTTAATACATCCTACCAAAATCTGTGAAAAACGCTGTTTCGAAAAAAGTGTTGGTTAGGGCCTTTGTGAATTAAGGTAACGATATATACAAAATCATTAAATTACTTAACACCTTCAATCAGTCGCAAAATGACTCCTCGGTCATGAGGATCGAACAATCGCGATTTGCATAAGAAAATAATATCGTTTGGGATTTAACACAAAACTCAAATTGAAATAATTATAAAAAGTGAAGTCGTTTCATTAAATCAACATTTTAATTTTGAATAAACTAAAGATAATAGCTACAGAATAAAATACACTCGTATTACGTTGATAAAAATAATAAAATGTTTGCAATTTATTAATATGTTAATTGCGTATCGTTGAAACTTTACTATCGTATGAACAAATGAACTGTGAAATGAAAAATTCTTAAGCATAACTGTTCATAGAAATGAAATGATGAAATATATTAAAGAAATAAATTTTATCTAAAATTGTATATAATTACTTTTTAAAAATTATAATCTGACGAATAATTAAACAATAATTTGGAGGAATCACCTGGCGATATGAGGACTTAGTTCCCTGCCATTTAAACACAAACAAATTTAATACAATTCGCTACATAATTTATAACTATTAAAATATAGGAATAGCTTGGTTACTTGTGGACCGTAAGATCTCCAACCAACAAATCACAAATCTTACATTTTAACAACGATTTAACATACATAAGATATAAATAATTTGAAGACGTAAGCACAGCAGAAACACGTGGTTCTGGCCCTCAGCGGTATTACCATACGTGTATTAGTGGAGCAACGTTGGACATACCTGAAGATTACTAATACAAGCTGGAATATAAAACACTAAGAGGAATAACCTGACTGTAGGGACTATTGGGTCCCTCGTCATTTTTTAGAGTCCACAAAAAAATAACGCCTTCAATAAAGCACCGTGTTTGAACTTCATAAATACCATTTACATATGTACATATGTACACATGTACATATTAAATTTTTTAATATTTTGCAAAGGAAAAATGATTATTAAGATAGGGACTTTTTTATATTAAGGTAGTTAGGTATGTATGTATGTATAGATACCACGTCTATCGGATAGAATTTGTTTATACAGATGTGCGGTGCTACAAATATATGTATGTATGTACCAGGGTTGTTGCGAATATTCGCATTCGCATTCGCAACCGCGGAGCTTCCGCATTAATTTCAACATTCGCATTCGCAAAATTACAGTTATTTTTTTACGAATTAAACTTGGCCAAATATTTTTTATTCGGAAATAAAAGTACTTTCCGGATAATAAACAAACCGTTATCCAAATTAAACAAGTTTGGTATCCAATGAAAGAGGACTTAAATAGCTTTAAAACTGAAGGGTCTAAAAGAGGAAAGGCACACATTGAAAAATATTTCAATAAAAAATGTTAATTAATTACCATAGAACAAACACTGGGTCAGGTATATATTTACATGAATTTCTTTAGTATTAAGTTATAAAAAAATATAAATTAAGGTGGTAACCTTCATTCGTTATTTCTGTTTAAAAGCTATTTCAGTCCTCTTTCATATGATAACAAATTTGTTTAATTAGGTTAAGCGGTTTCTTTATTATTCGGATAAGACGTTTATTTCGGAATAAAAAATATTAGGCCAAATTTAACTCGGAAAAAATAACTGTTATTTTCGGTCCCTGGAATATTGTGCAAGGGCACAGACGTATATCTAACCAGTCACAGAAGAAAGCATTAAAAATGAGTTGCAAAAACTAAAATCGAAAAACGCTGATGACGTGACAAATTCCGAAACAACCAAAAGAATGAAATGAAGAATTCTTTCGAAAAAACGGTGTTTAAAAAACGATTGTGCCATGATGCTAGATTGTGAAGATGAAAGTCAGGAGTATACATCCGACATTTGCAGCCCCGATGAAATTCTCAAAAAGTAATTATTGCACCGCAATAAAAATAAATAAATATATATATATATAAATAAAGTCCTCTCAACTGTTGCAGTGTCAATCGAAAAGAATTTACAATGTTGCCAAGTTTCATGTTTTTCAAGTTTGTCGCCTCAAGCGAGTAGTTATATAGTGGCGCAGGTTAGATTTACGACCTTTCAAAAAGTTTTTATTAAGTGCAATGTTCCAATTTTTNGATTATATAGTGGCGCAGGTTTGATTTACGACCTTTCAAAAAGTTTTTATTAAGTGCAATGTTCCAATTTTTAAATGAAACCCCCCTCCCCCAAACCGGTTCACTTTTCACTTTTGGTTTTCATGTACATATTTACTATGGGCGGAATACAAGTTTCTGGGTGATTTTTTTTTCGGGCAAAACTCAGGATAAGGCAGCTTATTAAAAATTAGTAACCTTTCCATTTTTTATTTACCTAAATCACCTAATTTACCCACCTAAATTATTTCTTAAAAATACATGACATCTTACTGGGGTCTTCAATCGAAACGACTTTAAACAAAATTATAATACCCTTGTGCATAAGTGCGTTCGGGTATAAATATTGTCCAGTTATGCACGCACATATTTGTCGCCTCCAGCAGCAAGTGTTCCCAGAGAGCAGTTGTAAGTTTCAGTCCATTTCGGACAACATTTCCGATATTTTTCATAATTTTTTATGTTCCATTTTTTTAAGGAAAACGGGCCGATTTCTTCTTTTTAATTTGTCTTTTTCTAAATGCTCTTGGAATATAAAATCAAGAAAATGTGTTATATAACATATAGATTTCCATAAAACATGTACTGATCTACTTTCTTGAATTTTTTTGTAATACCGTCACCAATTCCGCAGCTTCTAGGCTTGGTCCGATAATGATATAGCAATTGGCTATATTTTTTTCGAATTTTTAAATTAATGAAAAACAAATAAGTTTTGCCCAATTCAGCTCAGACTGTGTCAAATCAAATTCATTAATCAAAATGATAACGATACCATGTTGTAGAGGGAGAAATTATCTAAATTTTTGCATAGGTAATTACTACGCTACGACTAGTCCCTTTCGGGTAATCAATTGTTATCGTCTTCCTTTAAATTTGATCAAACACTTGAATACTCGTACGTGGCATATGAGTAATATTATTTTCTGCTCTTAACTCTTTCATATAAAAAAAATATTAAATTTCTCAATGGATTCCGCGAAAGTGATGCGTCGCGGCGTAATTCTTTCCATTACAATTTGGTAGAGAATTTCTTCCTTTACAATGTGGTATATTTATCTTTTTCATTAATGCGTTTGATTTGAAGCAGACAGAGTTCTTGTCGTTGAATTGGTTGATTTGATAGTTTTTAATTAAGTTAAAAATTCGAAAAAAGTGATCATTAATTTTTTTTTTATATTTCTCATATAAAAATGTAAGAGCACCGTTAATTTTTTCGTCATCCAATTATCATATCTGAACCAAATTACGGGACGACTCTTGAGGTACCATCTTTTCGATAAAAAAAGAATAATTGAAATCTGTTCACGTGGTCCAAAGTTATACGTTAGCATAAATAAAAAAATAAAAAATATTCCGACGAATTAATGTCCTCCTCATTTTTTGAAGTCGGTTAAAAATGTTTGAGTTCTTTGTTAACTCTATGTTAAAAAAAAAAATAAAAAATATTTATTTATTACACCGTGCGACAGTCAATTTTCTTCTTCTTCTTTTTTGGCGCTGTAACCGCCTAAGCGATTTTGGCCGAGTTCAGAAAGCACGCCAGTCGTTTCTCCTCTGTGCCAACTGACGCCAATTGGAAACGCCAAGTGAAGCCAAGTCCTTCTCCACCTGATCTTTCCATCGCAGTGGGGGCCTCCCTCTTCCTCTGCTACCACCAGCGGGTTCCGAGTTGAATACTTTCAGAGCTGGAGCGTCGGT